TGTCCACAAGACCGCAACTTAAAGGCATTGCTTATCTAAGACTAAGTTTATCTTTCATGCACTGTACAAATGATTGACTGCATGGGACGACTCCTGCTGCTGCTATGACCTGCTTTTTAATGAACTTTTTGCTGCACGTTAGTGATCAATATGGTACACAGATGTGTAGTAGAAACACTCAAACACTACTTTGTGTATCTTTAATGTTATGGTGCATCGCTGTGTAGCGTTGTCTGCTCTCAATCAGCTTTCAAAACGGTCACGACCTAATTAAATAGTAAGTTTTGCATAGTCGAACTGTGGCATGTATCACATTGCTGCTGTGCGTTTTTCTTCAATATATAAATGTAGAAACATTGCGAAAATGAACAAAAAAGTAAACGGCTATAAACACGATAAACATTATAGTGGAGTATGCTTGTTTTTGCAATTCTAGGTTTAGGAGTAGTGTGCCTAAATAACTAATTCCGCAAGATGCTAATTCCAGTTGTTATTCGTGTGTGATCGAGGGCCAAGACAAATAACGCATAAGTTCTAGCATCACTAAACAAAATATTAGTACTGATAACATTTTGCGGCTTCAAAAAGAAAGCATGAGAGACGTAGGACTATCTAATTCTAATCTGATAACTGAATTCACATGCTTATAACCCTTTAGCCTCTTGACATTGAAAACATAACAAACAGTTCATGCTAACATGACAGCTCTAAGTAATTCGTATATACCCCGGGCATTGAATAGGATGTTTTAATTTTACAGCTGAGCATGGCAAATAGCTCACTATCTTCATTGCTTGGCAGCTCAGATGAGACGTTTAATGGCACGAAGTTAATGCGGCTGATTTTGGATGGTGGAACAGAAGCATTGAGAAACGCCCTTCTGAAAACTCACCCTGGAAATTTACAGGTTGTATTATCTTGTACATGTAGTTCGAGTACATCTACATGTAATTACCACATTCTTTCTCAACTTAGAACACGCAAAATAATCAATCAAAACCAGTGGGATAAATTATATTCTGTTTCTCCCAACCAACCAAATATCAATGATTTTGACATAACTTTACTATCTGTTCTTTTAAGAAACATCTGCGGTTTATCGCCGCCCCCTTCCGGTTGGGATAACTTCCCAAATGCTTCGGATCATTCCGTTGAAGCCGACATTGTTCGTATTAGGTTATTCCGTAATGACCACTTTGGCCACATAGCCAAATCAGCTGTTAATACAGCAGATTTTACGACTTTCTGGGCAGAAATAAGTTCACCATTAGTTCGCTTAGGGATAGACCAAAAGGAAATAGATAGACTAGAAAAGGAGGAATGTGGGAAAGAGGAAGTGGAACGGATTTTGAAAGAATGGAATAACAAAGTTATGAACGTCTTGAATGATATTAAAGATAATGTGAATGTTCTTGTTAAAAAAGACGAGGAACTCCGGTCGGACGGTGTTCTAAAGAAGCATCTTGTTCGGTGCGACTTTCAGAAAGAGATCGAGTTTTATAACGCAAAGTTTACCAACGGTACTCGAGAATGGGTATTTGAACAACTTTTAACTTGGTTTAATGATGAAACTTCTGAAAATCGTGCGTTTGTCATTTCTTGCGTTGCTGGCATGGGTAAGTCCGTTATTGCCGCTGTTATCTGTAAAAGATTTGCTGAGCACGTAGGTGCATCTCACTTCTTTCAATACAATAACAGTCAATATAACAATCCAATTTTGCTTCTTCAGTCTTTAGCCTGGCAATTATGTAACGTTGTTCCTGCGTATAAAGAAGCTCTTATTGAGAAGCTTTCCGGTAATCTCGGAAAATCTTTGAATAATATGAATATCGAAGGGTTATTTTCCGTTCTTTTTAAAGAACCATTTTCAGGTATTCCTGGTAGTCGAAAGCGTATATTGGTTGTACTTGACGCTGTCGATGAAAGTGAGTTCCTTGGTAAGCATGAGCTTGCTTTTTTGATCTCTAATCACTTGCATAAACTTCCTTCTTACATTCGTTTTGTGGTCACCACAAGACCAGAGAAAAATCTACTAGATAAGTTCATAAAACTTAACCCTTTGTATATTGATTCTAACGATGAACGAAATCTAAATGACATCAAACTGGTTTTAGAAAGCTCCTTGAAAGGTGTTGTAGATAGTTTGGCAGAAAAATGTGAGGGTCTGATGCTTTATGCGTTTTTCCTTTGTGAAATTTATAAAAACGAATCTTGCATACATAGAATAGACAGTTTGCCAAAAGGTGTTGAGGAGTATTATGAAAGGTGCTTTCGAAGATTAGAACGTGATTTAAGTCTTTCGGGGGATACATTCTTGTCCTTTCTAAGTGTTCTTGCAGTTGCTAGCGAACCGTTGCCAGAGGCGTTTGTTGGAACCGTATTCGACTTTCAGAATTCCCCAGGATCCAGGCAAAAGACAAGAAAGGCCATCAATTCTATTTCAACTTTTCTTGTTATCAACGAAGACAAATCTATTTCGTTCTTTCATAAATCAGTAAGAGACTGGCTTGTCGATAACTCTGACCATGATTACTCTGTTGATGTGCAATATGGTCATAAAACCCTTTTTGATATATGTGTTAAAATATTGGACGAGTTGAAGAAAAATGGTGTCAGTAGTGAAGGTCTTGTTACTGCGGTTGTCAAGTATGCACTAAAACACTGTGTGCCGCATATGCTGAATGGATTAGATGATACAGGGAAATTAGAATACTTTGTAAGTTCCTACGTTACAGATTTAGAAGTTATGTTTGCCAGTGTTTGTGTCGATATTGATCTTACTATGAACAATATCACTACCTTTTTGAATCATGAGATGCAGATACATGTTTCTGAGAGCACGAGAACGGCGTTGAGCCGTTTGTTTTTCCTAATCAGAAAGTATGGCTCCTTTTTAAGAAATCGTCCCCAAACTTTCTTGCAAAATGTTGTTAACGAGGGTGGAGATGGGCTTTCGTCTAAGGCTTCAACTTTGCTTAAAACACGTTACAAGGATTTTGTTTATCTAGAGCTATTTAACAAAGGTAAGAGAAATCACAAATTTGAAGCCCGCTGCTTTCTTTCTGGCACAATATCAGGTATTGACGTATCTCCTCACCATGACTACCTTGTCTGTAGTTATGAACAGGGTGGGATTGAGCTTTTTTCGTTAACAACCGGTACGTCAGAGTGGAGAATACAAGATTTCCCGGTGATACTTGATGATAGTCATGATGGTACGTGTATGTTGCCACATTGTATTGTTTTTCATCCTCGTGAAAATGTAATACTTCCTGGGAGACTCGACAAGGTGATAACTTTGCGGGGAACTTTTACAACTGGGACATTTCAATATGATGAAGATAGTTCTGTATTTACAAACTGTTGTTTTTCTTTGGATGCAAGCAGAATGGCAACATATCATGGTAGTAAATTGTTTGTGTGGAACGTTTTAAGCGGTGCTAAGGAAAAATACGTCCCATGCAAAATGCTGCACTCCCTTTCTTTTACTGCTAGTGGCAATTTTTTAGGAACCACTGATGCCGAAAACGTTTTAACCGTTTACGATGTAACAAATGATTACAACATTGATTCTGCCATAATTGACAGTGAGTTCCCCGTTGAAATCGTTTCCACTTTTGAGCAACATTCGTGGTTCTGTTCTCTTGGTCCAAAATTTTGCGTTCAAAACCATGACCTATCCCAATCGTCTGAGCTTCTTCACCCTGTAGTTAACGCAGTTCTACCAAGTAATGTTCACTCTTCTCATGATATAGAACATTTCTTGCAACATCCAGAGAGGTCTTGGTTGTCAAAAATAATGAAAAACCTCCATGACATGTTTGGGTGGTCTAGGGATGATTCAATTAGATACTTGTTAATAGATGTTAAAAGCGTTCTGGTTTTCTCATCTACTTCAAGTTTCATGTATGTGTTTAGCATAGAAGGTTTAATAGATACAGAGGAACAGGAACTTAGCATGAAGAAAGATATCTTTTCCAACATATCTACAAATGGCGATTTTGTTTATGTAAATAATGCGATGAACAAATGTTTTACTGTTTGCACACTTGATTCAAAGTATAAATATTCAAAACCTTATCAACAGTCAGGTGAATTCGATTTTGTGGTTGTGAGAGACTGTGTTATTCTGCACGGAGGCAATGATACTCCAGAGCTGTTTAATAATGATTTAACACAATGTTTGGCAAGATTAGATCAACTGACTGGCACGAGGAAATTTCTGTATGTGTCGGATGAAGTAATAGCTTGTATTCATGACGAAGGGTATATTAACTTTTTTAATGTTTTTACCAGACAAATAGTTTGCCAAATGATTTTTACTGAAGATGTATATTCAGTATACGCATGTAGCATTGAATATCTTGTATTTGCACGGACGAAGTCTAGTGAAATTTCTTTATGGAAAGATGGGGAAAAGGTACATAGTATTAGTTGGACTGATGATTTCGATAAGGTTAGGTCAGGGATTTGCACTTTTGAGGCTGAATTTTCTCCCGATGGAAGTAGGTTAGCATTGTCTAGTGTGGAAAGTACCAAAATATACATCTATGATGTTGTCTCAGAAACTCTTTGTCCCATGATTATTCCGATAAGTGATGGTTTTCTGTCAGGGTTGAATTTTTTTGATAACAAAAAGTTACTTTATGGTTCATCTAACCATATGTTATACTTAATTAACATAGAAGAGGCTGAAGAGCGTGATCAAATTTTAACGTGTTTAGATGTAGGTGATAGTCCAGGCCCCATTTCTGTATGTCGTAAACGAATGATTGTTTGTGCTGGGCTTCATTTTTCAGAAAATTTTGAGCTAATTAAAATCTGCTTGACTCGTAATTTACAAAATTAATCCGATGTATGGTAAAACAAAATGCAGCAGAGTACTAGTAGTGCTGTGAGAGACAGTGTTGTTAAATTGTTACTAATGTAGAGCTTTATTAGAAAACAAAATTGTGAAATTGTACGTCGTTGGATAGTATAGTTTCGTTTATTTAGTGGTACAACAATATGACAAATTTCGAGTGTCTACGACCAATTTTTTAATGTACCAAATAAACTTCTCTATAATTAACATTTCGCTAAATGTTTCTTTATGCCGGAGTTATACGCATAATCACGTCCATTTCCATATGTCTTAGTAGGCAACTTGCCAAATAATAAAGTATTTTTTGAAATGTAACATATACCTATTTTTTAAAGTGTTCCTTAGGTTGCATATCAGTCTCAGCATGGAGAGAAATTGGAATCTAATTCCGGTAAATTTTAACCACCGATACCTTGTGGTACTTACTGATCTGTGAAATTGTGCAAGGGCCTCTACTGGCGTCTTTGATTGAAATGTGAAATAATTTTTTTATTAAGTTCTTTGTAGGTTTGCATGGCGATAAAACATATAATATTTTGTTTGTGAAAACACCACGTAAATTTATTACTGCAAAGCTTTCGATCCGTAAGCCCGGATCTATTCGTTTAGCCCGGATCTTCATCAGTTCTAATAATGTGTGACTTTTTTATATGTGACTTTTTATACTTTTTTTTACTTTTTTTTATTAACTTTTTTAAAAAGTCACATATTATTAGCACTGATGAAGATCCGGGCTTACGGATCGAAAGTTTTGCAGTAATACATTTACGTGGTGTTTCCACAAACAAAATATTATAATTTTTTTATTATTAATCAGTGTTGTGACGAGTCACCACCAAAGGTCGCGTTTGACGAAACTCTGTCATGGAATGCCCAAGTCGACCAAATTACAAGAATGGTTAATTCAGGCCTCAGTATCCAAAAAAAGATTGCGAGATATGGTAGATTACCGAACGTTAATTACAATATATTTATCACTAATCCATCCTCACTTTGACTACTGTTCACATGTTTGGGGCTGTCTGGGGAAAGGATTCTCAGATAGACTCCAGAAGCTTCAAAACAGAGCATTTCGCATAATAACCCATGATAATGATGAAACACGTTCAGCAGACATTTTGAACAAGGTCGGTCTTCCTAATCTACGAACTGGAAGGAGACATCAAT